GAAAAAAAAAAACTAAACGCGTTGCATTTTATGACTCGTGCCCGGCCAAGGGCCTGGTCACGAGTAAAAAGTTCATGAAACACAGAGCTGTTGCATCTGGACTTACCTGTATTATTGGTACTTCATACACCTCCTCACCAGCTTCTTCTACACTTAAAACTTCAAATCTACACAAATAAATCAAAATAATTAGTTAAAACATTATATGTGTGTCTGGATCCCTTTGAAACTAATATATACTGCAGATAATTTAAGGTTAGTCTATTTGATGCAGGAATGTCATGTATGTTTGCTTACATAAAAATGTTGTCAGTTAATACAACATTGGTCAGACTGCTTCCTTTCTCAAAGACTTTGTGAAATTTTCCCTGAAACTCTTCTATTACTCTCATCTATAGAACAAAACAAGATAATGAGGTATGTCTTTCACAGTACACGTACATTGACCAGCCAACAAAGGTGCAACTTTACATATAAATAACCTGATTAAACAAGTAAACATGGTTAATAATAAAAAAAAAGTTGAAAACTCAAACAACAGGCAATATGCAGCAATGAAATTTTGTATCCCCATAAAGGCCATTTTTGTGCTTCCTTTGTTTTTGAACAGAAAAAAGCAAAAACCAGCTTGGCTGAACTATTTAAATGGATTTGAAAAAAAATCCCATCATGCTTTGTTGCACAAAATGGTGTCACAGCACTATTGAAAACGTAAACAAAATAACCAGACAACAATGAAACAAGTACTCGAYGCTTATTTTACTCAAAAACATGAATTAACTTTACTCACGTTATCTTCWTTTACTCCAGTCTTTCTCTCAACTGCTGCTGTTAGTTGCTCTAGATTGGCATCTTGGCAGACTTTAACAGTAATCTGTTCACATGTTTAATATCATGTTATTAATATAAAAAATAATAATGAAACCTGAGATATTTTTCAAGAGAATATCGATGGAATAAGAACATTACTTTTCCCAAAAAGGAAAACATTTTAAATTCCAAATATAAAGCTGTACCTTCATTGGTGTTCTTGAAGGATCTTTGAAGAAGAGGACAACATTCAGTAGTTTTTGTTCCTTTGGCAGAGGTACTGATAGGTTCATAAACGGATCAAATTTGATAGAAATCTAAATAGAAAAAATAATATAATATAATATTATTAAGTGTTTGTTGTGATTTGTTGTGTTGCGTTGTATTGT